TAAACAGAAACTTTATACCTGTCATTGAATTAAATCCCAAAACTTTACATCGAGTAACTCAGGAAGAACCCACTCTTAACTCAAAAACTCATAACTTCTTGATCTTTAGAGCAAAAGCAAGATACAATGCACAAATGTGAGTAAATGTACACGGGGCCTTTAAAAAAAAGTTGAAGGGAAATAGAAAAAAAAATGTTAGCAGTTGAAAATTTAAATGTGGGAAAAGATGTTGGAAGTTCGGAGAAACAAGAAAAAATATGAAATTTGTTTAGGGCAGCGGGAGAGTGTATTGGGGAAACAGAGTATTCGGAGGCCTTTGATTTAGTGATCATGAACGCAAAGACCAGGTAGCATGTCTGAGCTTTTCTCCAGGCACGTTCAGCCATGTGATTGTAGGCACAAAGTCGGCGGAGTTGAATTTAACCAAGTATGTGGTTTAGCCAATTGTGTATGACCATGTAAGAGGGAAGGTGGTGGAGGGTAAATGCAAGGGGGTGATGATAATGATTAAACATAGAATTTAAACCAGCTTAAGAGGCATAAATATAAAAGGGATGATGGACAACAGCTAAAATGGCCGGATCAACAGTCAGAGAGCTGCCCCAAAATAGCCAATGCGGCTAATACTCGAAGGGTACCCATTCTCAGTGGGTGCCATTCATATTTGAAATTTATCATTTGTATGCTTACTATAATAATTTTTGGCAGAATGCACTCAAATGTCTTGTTTTATCTTTTAAAAAATGGTTTGTTATAACAGTTTCCAAAAGACGGAACTGAAGTGTCTTGAAGAACAGTTCCATCTCTAATTCAAAGGCATTGTAAGGACTGGCAGTGGCCCTGCTGATGGATATAAGGTCCTGTTCAGTTGACGGATTATTGGAATTGGAGCACTAGAGGGAGTGGGCTGGAAACAAAAGAGAAGGTGGGCAGAGAGTGGGTGTTAATAATTGAGATTATTGTTACCAAATAATGGTCATTAACAATGATGACGAGGTCAAGATGATCATGGGCGTGGATGGCCAAAGCAGGGGAGGGACAACAGTGGTTTAAGAAGAGCAGTTTCTGAAGGAACCATGGGGAGACAGTGCCAAGAAAATTATACTGGGGGATTAACAATAATGTCTTAAAATTCATCAGTAATTATAAATGTTTTGTGTTCTTTTTTATTTTTATTTTTTTTAGCTGAGCCATCCTGCTACCTGTTGGCAGCTCAGCGGCTGCTCAGCTCGGGCTGGACTCGAACTGCTGTTGCTCAGAGCTCAAACTCTTGAGCGAGCTCTTAACCAACTGAGCCACTCGGCCGGCCCTTTTGTGTTCTTTTTTAAATACTGGGGGTGCCAAGTGGTCGACGTGGCTCAAGCAGTAGTTCGCCGTAATCAGAAGTGTCTGGATGCTGACGGGAACCACTCTGAGCACCTCTTGTCATTGCAGAAGTCAGACATGACATGTATTCATCTTTTGTTATCGGTATATGTTGAGTATTACACTTTTAATACAGTTTTCCTTTCTTAAAATGTGTATACATTTTTTTGGCCCCCTCTGTAGTCTTAAAATCCGGACTTTTAAAATTCTAAAACAGTATTATATGAGAATTAAAATAGACTCAAAAGACTCAACGTTTTAAACTGGAATTTCTGTGTGTTTTAATTAAAATCAATATTTGCACTATTCTGTTCACCCCAAGTCTGTGTTTATACTGAATACTGTTTGTTGGCAAATAATCTTTATGCACAACCCATTTAATGCTGCCTCCTGTATCTCAGGGGCTGGAAGTCTGGGGATTACATTTCCCAGGCTCCCTTTCCTGGGAGATTTGGGTGACATTTGCATTCTGTCAATGCTCTCACTTCAGATTTGGAAGTCAAAAGGGAGTTCCACAGTGGCTCTCTGAAGGTAAAGAGTGATCACCAGAGCTTCAGACCAAGAGCACCGTGACCCTGCTGGCCTCCTGCTGCAGTATGTTGACCTCTAGGTGGCAGCAGCGAGTCGCTGAGTTCTGGGTAATATCTGCATCCATATCACTTGAAAGCTAAAGATAGCCACACCAATGGCCGTTTCTTTAGTTTCCCAACAACTTTTGAGAACCTAATTCCTTATATCAAATCCTCAACTTGTTTCGATTTTTCTTTAATGAATCCTGAATGACAGACTATTTCACGCCAAGACTGGTTCCAGACCTTCAGCAATGGGACTCTCCTATTGGTTAGTTGACTTGGCTGGGTTTGCATGCAGAGATGGCCTCATTCCGATGCCAAACAGAATTCTAAAGAGACATGTAGTGGCTAACAGTTACTTCAATTAACATCTATGGCTGCCTAAAATTAAGGGCTTATTGAAGACAAGAATTCAGGAGGCCAGGATGGCTATTACTGTGAAATAGAAAAAAGAACGAGAAGGACTCTGGGGTGTGTCAGCTACTTCTTATTACCCTACAGCAGAGACCATAAAGCAGAAAATGACAAGCTCAGGAACTCTGCAGTCTTGGATCACGGCATGCTCAGAGGCCCAGAGAGCTTCCAGGATCCTTATTTTGTAGCTACATTGTTGATACAGCTGATAATTGAACCTAAGTTCTGTTGCTGCAGGTTGCAAATGCTAATGTGAGAAGAGCCATGAGGAGGCCAGGCCTTGGGCTTGGCGGAGGAGGAAACTGAGGCGCTGCCTCGGTCACTGTCTCTCAGCTTGTGATGGCCCCGTGATTACCTTCTGCTGTTCTCAGGAACGGGTGCCCCAGCCCAATCAGCCTGTAGCAAAATGAAGTACAGACTGTTGTCCTTGATTTGCCAACCTCAGAAACATCTAGAATAATAGTAATAAAAATAACCATAACTATAATAATGATGTTACTTAGGCTGCACTTACTCACCACATGCCAGGCACTGCCAGGTACAAAGTGCTTTCCAAATATTCACTCATTTAGTCCCCACAACAGCCCTCTGTGAGATACATTGTTATAATCCTGAATTACAGGTTTGTGAACTCTGAACCTGTGAGAGGTTAAATTACTGGCTTAAAAATCACTCAAGCAGTTAATGATGGAGCTGTGACTCCAACCTGGGCCTTTCTGGCGTCAACACCCAAGACCCTAACCCCTATATTATTCTGACTTCCTTTTGCCACACATGGCCTTATGTCCTATAAGTTTTGTTTATTATATATCTCTCAAATACACCCACTTTTCCCACCACCATCCCTCTAATAATGAATGCTATGATCTCTCTGAAGGATTACTGTAGCAGCAGTAACCACTCTTAACTGGTTCACATTTACCCATTTTGGCCCTACTTCTGATCTGTTATCCACATTGTAGTCAAAGGGGAAATTTCAAAACATAAAATCTAATCATGTTGCACCACGTACTAAAAACACTTTAAAGGTGTCATGTAAAGATCTGACTCCTCAGGCCAGTTTTTAAGGCCTGCGCAGTCTGCCCTCCCCCCGTTTGGGGCCGCATGGGGTCCACTGTTCCCTGAAGCGCCTGTCCACTTTATTAATTTCCCTTCTGCAGTTTCACTCAGTTCCTCAAATGCACCGTGCACTTTTCTTCCACAGGCCCTTTGCACATGCTTTTCCCACTGTCTGGCATGCAATTCCAGACCCCCACCCCAACCCCTCTTTCACCTACTTAATGCCACTCTTTCTGAAGACAACAGTTCAAATGTCACTTCCTTAGCAAAGTATTTCTAATCTCGAAATTAAATTAATTCCCACTGTTGAAAGGTCTCATAACAACATTAATTAGCATTTTCTTGGAGGTTAGGGTTTTATAATTGTTTGTGTGGTTCTTTGATGAATGTCTGACTTCCTGACCATGCTGTAAGCTCTGTGAAGGCAGGAACTAGAGCAGGAGTTTGCTTACCACTGTAGTCCCAAGGCTTAGAATAATATTGAGTATATGGTAGGTTTCCAAACAATAGCTGCTGAATAAATGAAGGTACAACACACTTCCCTGAGGAGAATGAAAAAGACAAGCCCTTTCCAAAAGTCTATGATGTGCTTCGATCTCCTATGGGGGACAAAGTTTTGCTGAGGGTAGAAGTCCAGCTCACCAGGCAGCCAATGCTAGCCAGACAGCCCTAGGCACCTACCAATAGGAGTCTGAGAGAAGAACAGCTAGGTCTACTTAAGACATTTCAGTTGCTGGGAGCCATGTTTCAAGTTCACAAATATAAGTGGCTCACTTCTCAAGTAAGTCAACCTAAGTAAGCAATGCTTAGCACATAAAGCATACCTTCCCACCCTCCCCTCAAAAGCCTAAGGGTGAATTGGTTGCCTGAAAGTGAAGATTAAGAGAAAGAACAGAGTCCAATCCTTCCCTCCTGAGCAATAGGCCTAGACGTTTTGATCCCAGTGTGGTGGCCGCCCAGACAGAGGGTGCGATCTAGGTGAGAAGGCTCTGATGGGTTATCTCCACAAGGAGCTCTGGGCATCCGTAATGCACATAGCCCTTAGGCAGAGGCAGAGGCAAGACAGGCATTGAGACTGATCCCAAATTCTGCCCACCCCAGGCTCAGCTTCTTGGTCTCACAAGTTTTACAATTAGAGATGGGTCCTTTCTCCTCTAAAATAATTAAGTGCAAGGAAAGATAACACATCAGATTGGTTTACCAGAGTCGTTTCAGACATAGTCATGCCTCTTAACTATGGAGATAGATGTGTTCTGAGAAACACATCGTTAGATGATTCCGTCCTTGTGTGAACATCACAGAGTGCACTTACACAAGCCTGGATGGTAGAGCCTGCTATTCACCTAGGCTATGTGGTACAGCCTGTTGCTCCCAGGCTACAAGCATGTGACTGTACAAAACATGAAATTAAATCAAGCACAAGAGAAAATGATTCATTCAAGTGACTCGGTAAACACGAGCTGTATGAGGCTGCTGCTGGCAGAACACGGCATACTGTGTTACAGCAAACTTTATATATATACATTCAAGTAGAAAGAGTATAATGTAACATAATGATAAAAAGTATAATGTGGTAAACCCATAAGCCAGTAACATAGTAGTTTTTATCATTACCAAGTATTATAAACCATACGTAATTGGACATACTATCCTCCCAGCTAGAGGGCTGGCAGGCAGCGCAGTAGGTTTGTTCAGAGCAGCGTCACCACAGACATGCAAGGTGTTGCACTGCGACATTACGGTTGCAGTGTCCCTAGGCGGTAGGAATTTTTTAGCTCCATTATAATCTTACAGGACCACAGCATACATGCAGCCTCTTGTTGACCAAAACATCATTATGCAGCACATGACTAGTGTTACGTTGTTGGGATCGGAGAGAAAGAGAGTTTGAAGAAAAGGCAAAGCTAAATAGTGGAGTGTTGGCAGGGAGTGAGGGAAAGAGAAATTTCCTCTGCTTTGTAAGCCAGTCCTTCCATCCAGCAAATTGAGAGAATAGAAAACTGTTTTGTTCAAATTGAAAATTCGAGGGAGTCATTATGAAGATTCTTGCAACATCACTTCAATTATTTTAGCTGCCATAATCCGGTTGGGCCTCGCTGTTGGTGGAAGGAGACTATTGAATATGTTTGACTTTGCTTGGAAACCATAAAACCACAACAAAATACTTCTCCGGAACGCTACTAGGCAACACAAGGAAACTCTTCTACACCATGAGAAGGACTTGTGATAAAAGACTCAGACTCAAATAGTGCATTCGAAGAAACGGAAGGCGATGCTTCAGCATCATCTTAATGAGTAATCAAGAATAAATATGATTAAGGTATCAAGTGCCTTCTCCAGCGATCTAAGCTTCCTAAACAACAATAACAAAACCCTGTGAAGCCTGGCCCTGACTGCCTAAAATTATTCGCTACTGATTTGACAGTCAAAGGTCAGCTGTTAGGATCTTTTTGAAAGTCAATTTGAAAGAAGCCGGTGGAATGTCCTCATTGAACTGCATCACTTCCTTCCTGGGACCATCAGGGCACCTCCCCAGCCTTTCAAGATAGGTTCTGCTCCAAAAGGTCAACCTGGCAGTGGAAACCCCCGGCAAAAGTTAGCGGCCAGTGTGCAGCGCATCTCCTGGCTGGGGCTCTCGGCCATTTCTTTCCTCCTCGACCCCCCGGGAGGTGAACCCGGTGGAAAGGCTCGCGGAGAGGGTGGGTCCCAGCAGGGGCTTTGCTGCTGCGGAGAAACGCCAGAGGCCGTGCATCTCCAGGAGGTACGGGAAGCCTGCGAGAGAGACTCCAGGCCCCCGCCCCCGGCTGTTCCAGAGACCAGCGCATCCTGGAGCTTGGCGCGGGGCGTGGGGCGCCGGGCAGGGGAGGGGTGTGGCGACCTAGAGGTACCGCCCGGCCCCTGCTCGGGGACTGAACCCGCCGCCCGACCTTCCCCTCGGAAAGGAGGGGGAGGGGGAGGCCTAAAACTCCAGGGTGCAGCGGGGAGGAGGACGGGTTGCAGCGGGGAGGGAAGACTCGCCAAGCCTCTGGACGCGGGAGTGAGAGCGTGTGCTAGTGAGCCCGGGGGAGCGCGGCTGCGGATGGGCCGCCGGCCGAGAGCCGGCCCGGCTTGTTGCACTCGGTAACCAGGGCGGCCCGGCTCCCCGCAGTGCAACCGCGCCGGGGCTCCGGGGCTCCTGCAGACCGCCGCCAGCGGTTCGCTCTCTGCGCCGCCTGGAACCTGTACGAGCGGAACCGGAGAGAGCTAGAGAGAGAGAGAGAGAGAAGGTAAAAGGAAAGGGGGAGGTGAAGAAACGGGAGAGAGAACGAGAATATGGGTGCAAGCCGGACAAATTACAGACAAATTGCAAGCAAGTTTGCACTTGCATGCTCGGGCTGCGCGTGCTTAATGGGAGGGAGGGGGCAGTGATGGTGCTGGTGGTGTGTGCACGCCTGATACTCTCGGATGAGGGGATACGGAGGTGGGCAGCGTGCTCCTGGCAGCTGGTACGTAGCTACCCCTATTAATATCCCCCTCTCTGACTTGTCATTTCCGCTTGTGGCACATCTCTTGGGCTCCAGTGATGCAGAAGCAAAAGGCAGCCACCCTCTTATTGTAACGGTCGCCACTTGCTACTATCAGATGGGAGATGTCGGGCGTTGAACATGTTCTAGGAGCCTCCCTTCCTCCACCCCCACTATTTTAGGAAGGGCTGGGGGGAGGGGAAAGGTAGCACAGCCCAAGGCTGGAAGCCTGCGCGGAGGCCGGGGCTTCAGACTCTGCTCAGCTGTCACCGAGCAAAAGCTTCCAGGCGGAGGAGCCTACGCTAGAGAGCAAGATAACTTTCATCTCCTTTCCAGAAACACACGTTTCAGACAGAGGTTTTGCCTTGCTACCTGGAAGAGTTCTGTGAAATGGTGCTTCACAGGGGGGCAGGTGCGCGGCAAAAGGCAGGAAAATAGTGCAAAATACAGCCGCCAGCAGCTGCAAAGCAAAGAAAGCCCTTTGGGTGCCTTGTGCTGCCTGGATAGCAGAGCATGGATGCTGCAAGTTCAGGCCCTCTTCCATAAATAGAGTCAGGTCCAGCCCAGCGAGAAACATCAGCTGTGAAATCGGCCTTAGCACCCTGGAATCCTAGAATGCTCGTTTCTGAGCTTTTCAGTTTGTTGTGTTTATTTATTTATTTATTGGGGGGGGGCGGGGCGGGACCTGGCGTACCTGCAGTTTTTCTGTAAAATTAAGAAAGTTCAAATGAATTATTTTTTCCCCTCTTTAGTGCCTGTTTTTTTTCTTCATCTGAGAGCCACTTTCCTAAAAAAGCATTTATATACAGAAGCCAGACCTCCAAGAGAAAGTATAATAATTTTCAATTAAGCAGAGGTTATTGATGTGACCCACATCTGCATAAAGTGCTGATTCAATCATGAGTCATGAGGATGGTTCTTTGGGAGGCTGGCTGTTCCTCATGATGAAAAAGATTAATGGTATAGAGAAAAAGTTCCTGACATCACCAGAACAGTGTAATAAAACACATATCTATTTTTTCTTGTGTTTTTGAATCTGTTCATTACTTTGTGGCACATTTAGAATAAAAAGTGCCATATCAAGGCTAACTTAATATGTCTCTTGCAGAAGATGAAGTCACATCTTGACTGACTCAGATAATATTGCTAGCCTTTGAAAATATTTGCTCAACCTTATACATGATAGCCTCGTTTTTATCTTTCTTAACTAATGATGTTTCCCAGTGGTTTCTTTTGGTCATCATTGCCCCCATATGAAGAGTTCCTCTCAATTGATTCCTTCCTGAAGGAGAAGGGTTTGGAGAAAGGTAGTTTACCCCTGAAAAAAATCTCCAGAATTGTTTATGTTAAATGAGTAGGTTGCTACCCTAGGATCCATTCTCTGGTCGTTACGCAACAGCTTCTTGGAAATGAGAGGCGGTGTAAATGAAACAGGATGTTGGAAGCCCATAGCTGGCCTAGGTTGGTCGCATTTTCTTGGGTGGCTCCAGCCCTAGATGCTGCAGCCACGCCCTGTGGCCTGAAGGTGACAAGCACGTAGGACCCACCCAGGACGCCCCTAGGAGGAAATCTGCAATTCAATTCTCCTCTTCAATGGGTTAAATGTGCCCTTCCCAGTGGACTAAGCCAACCAGACCTAATGTGTTGGCAAGAAGTGCAATATATGCTCTAACAAAGTTGGGGGGCAGGTAGCTGGTACCCTTGGGCATGATTAATATAATACTTAACGCTTACCAAAAAAAGTTGCATTTGACACTTAGTATCTTTCATGCCAGTCAGCTTTGTACGTTGTCTTTTGATAACTTGTTTGTATTTTTAGAACAATTTTTATTTGTTACCCTGTATAATTCATAATAGTGAAAAATTACCAGCACTATTCACTGATACCCCAACCACATACGTTAGCAATATATTTATATTAAGTCCAGGATGTCCTTCTTCTTCCCTTTAGCCATCTTTCTACCCCTCAACCATCTTAGTTCTTTTTATTATTAATAATTAAAATTACCATTTTAAAGGGTAAATAAAGAAAAGGGTGAATAGAGAAAAACAATAGTTAAACTTACAATTAGATGTTTATATAACTTATTCCAGCAAAGGACTTAGATACAAGGGGGTCAAAATGTATTCATTGGCTTTTTTATTTTTGTTTAATAGATTTTAATAGGAGTTCTCTTCTTGGACATATTTAGCCATCTGATTGAGTAACCTCCACCCTTCATATTTATACTCGAGCAAAGTGCTCTGAATCAGTTCATGTTGGATGGTGTCAGTTCATCTTTTTCAATTAGAAATGAGCCATTTCATCTCAGATTATTGCAGGGTTTGGAATTTCTGCTGTAGTTTCTTCATACCAAACCATTTAGTTGCATTTCTTTAAGATGTACTCTTGTGGCCTAGGGCTGTTTCTTCCAGTGTTTTTCCAAA